TTTGTCTTTATCACCCTCAACCAGCACTTGATTCCCATGTGAGCAGGCATTTTGTCCTGTTCAATGACGTCCAAGAGCTTAGGATGTGCATCAGTGGAAGGAACAAAACTAAATGGCCAGGATTCTGAGAAAAAGTGCTGAAGAAATAAGAAATGCCATCTGGTGTCACGAGGGTCCTTAGTGTTGATGCACTCCTAAAGCTGGGACATGCTGGGGTCACCAGGAGGGGTGGGAGGCAGCTTCTTCATGTTGTGTAATAAGTGCTCCAGAGCCTTCAAGATTGAACCAAAGGGGGATGGTCCACCTCAGGATGAGGTCTCTGAAGGGGACCAGATCTCCCTGAACCTTGTTCCCTCTCTGCTGACAAAAGTAGCAGAAATTGATTGGTTCAGGGCTCTGAGGTAGAGACCAGAGGACCCCAGATGGTTGGGGCCTTGTGAGGGTTCAGAGAGAGTCAGTCTGTCCAGGACTCTCCTGCTTCTGTACTTTGCAGGCATCTTGTGCTCCTTGGGTAGTAGAAATGTCTCCCTCTGAACCTCTCTCTGAACCCACATGCCCCTTTTGTATAGAGATATCAAAGTGTATAGGGTCAGGGTTCTAACAACCTCATCTTTACTATTCATATCTGCAATGATTCCCGTCCTGGAGAGAGCAAACATCAAACTAAATGAAGAAAATCTCAAAGCAATCCCACTGAAATCAGGGACAAGACAAAGGCTGTCCACTCTCTCCATATCTATTCAATATAGTACTTGGAGTTCTAGTTAGAGCAATAAGTCAACAAAAGGAGATCAAGAGGATACAAGTTGGAAAGAAAGAAGTCAAACTTTTGCTATTTGCTGATGATAGGATAGTATATGTAAATGACCCCACAAATTCTACCAGGGAACTCCCACAGCTATAAACCTTCAGTAAAGTGGCAGGATATAAGATTAACTAAAAAATAAAAAATCAGTAGCCCTCCTGTATACAGATGATAAACGGGCTGAGAAACAAATCAGAGAAACATCACCATTTACAATAGCCACAAACATCATGAAATATCTTGGGGTAACACTAATATCAAGCAAGTGAAAGACCTGTATGAAAAGAACTTTAAGTCTTTAATGAACGAAATCGAAGAGGATATCAGAAAATGGAAAGGTCTCCCATGCTCTTGGATAGGTAGGATCAATATAGTAAAAACGACAATCCTACAAAAGCAATCTAGAGATTCAATGCAATTCCCATCACAATCTCAGCTCAATTCTTCACAGGCCTCAAAAGAACAATACTCAATTTCATATGGAAAAACAAAAGACCTAGGATAGCCAAAGCAATCCTGTACAAGAAAGGAACTTCTGGAAGGATCACCATCCATGACTTCAAGGTCTATTATAGAACTACAGTAATGAAAACAGCTTGGTATTGTCATAAAAACAGACAGGTGAACTGGTGGAATCCAATTGAAGAACCTGATATTAATCCACAAACCTATGACCACCTGATTTTTGACAAAGAGACTAAAATTATACAATGGAATAAGAAAGCATCTTCAACAAATGGTGCTGGCATAACTGGATGCTGACATGTAGAAGACTGCAGATAGATCCGTATCTGTCACCATGTACAAAACTCAAGTTGAAATGGATCAAAGACCTCAACATGAATCCAGCCATACTGAACCTCATAGAAGAGAAAGTGGGAAGCACCCTTGTCATCCTTGTACACATAGGCACAGGAAACCACTTACTAAATATAACACCAGTAGCATAGACACTGAGAGCAACAATTAATAAATGTGACCTCCTGAAACTGAGAAGCTTCTGTAAGGCAAAGGATATGGTCAACAAGATAAAACAGCAGCCTTCAGACTAGAAAAAGATCTTCACTAGCTCCACATCTGACAGAGGGCTGATCTCCAAAATATACAAAGAACTCATGAAACTAGACACCAAAATACCAAATAATCCAATTAAAAAATGGGACCAGGCGTTGGTGGCGTATTCCTTTAATCCCAGCACTTGGGAGGCAGAGGCAGGTGGATCTCTGTGAGTTCGAGGCCAGCCTGGTCTACAGAGAAAGTTCCAGGAGTCTCCAAAGTAATACAGAGAAACCCTGTCTTTAAAAACCAAAAAAAGGGGGGGGTTACAGATCTAAACAGAGAATTCTCAACAGAAGAAACCCAACTGACTGAAAGACATTGAAGGAATTGCTGAACATCCTTAATCACCTTTGGTTTGGAAATGCAAACCAAAACAACTCTGAGATACCATCTTACACCTGTTAGAATGGCTAAAATCAAAAATACTGATGACAGCTTATGCTGGAGAGGACATGGAGAAAGGAGAACCCTCCTCTGTTGCTGGTGGCAGTACAAACTTTTACAGCCATTTTAGAAATAAGTATGGTGGTTTCTCAGAAAATTGAGAATCAGTCTTCCTCAAGACCCAGCAATGCTACTTCTTGGCATATACTCAAAGGATGTTCAATCATATGACAAAGACCTTTGCTCAACTATGTTCATAGCAGGGTTAGTGATAATAGCCATAATCTGGTAACAACCTAGATGTCCCTCAGTTGAAGAATGGATAAAGAAAATGTAGATTTACTCAGAAGCAAAACAAAAAAAAAAGCAAAAAATACCCAAAAAAATGATATCTTGAAATTGGAAGGCAAATGAACAGAACTAGAAAAAACTATCCTGAGTGAGGTAACCCAGACCCAGAAAGACAATTATGGTATGTCCTCACTCCTAAGTGGATATTAGGCATAAAGCCAAGGATAACCAGCTTATAGTTCACGACTCCAGGGAAGCCAGGGAACAAAAAGGACACTAAGAGAGACACACATGTATCAGCCTAGGAGGGGGAAATAGACATGATCTCCTGAGCAAATTGGAAGTGTGGGAGGGAGGGGGTGGGATGGGAGAGGGGAGGAGGGAATGGGAGTGGGGAGGAGAATATGAAGGAACAGGATGGTCCTGTTGAGGGGAGGACACAGAGGAAGGTCAAGGAAAGAAATATTTTGCTAGAGGGAGCAAATATGGGGTTATCAAGAAATCTGGTGCTACAGAAACTCCCAGGAAGCCACAAGGATGACCCCAGATAAAACTCTAAGCAATAGTGGAGAGGGTGCTTGAACTGGCCTCCCCCCTGTCATCAGACAGAGGACTACTGTAATTGTCATCGTAGAACCGTCATTCAGTGACTGATGGAAGCAGATGCAGAGATCCACAAATAACCACTGGGCCAAGCTACTGGAGTCCACTCGAGGAGGGAGGAGCAATAATATGAACAAATGGACCAAGACCACGATGGGGAAACCCACAGCAACAGCTGACCCAAGCTACTGGGAGCTCACTGACTCCAGACTAATCGCAGGGGAACCTGCATGGGACTGAACTAGGCCCCTGAATGCAGGTGACAGTGGGTGACTTGGGCAGTCTGTAGGGCCACTGACAGTGGGATCAGGATCTATCCCTAGTGCATGAACTGGCTGTTTGGAGACCATTTTCTAAGGAGAGATACCTTGTTCAGGGGATGGGGGTGGGGTAGGATGGTCCTTGGTCCTGCCTCAACATGGTGATGGGACAGACTTAGTTGACTCCCCAGGAGAGGCCTAACCCTCTCTGGTGAGTAGATGGGGATGGGGGGAAGGGAAGGTGGGGAAGCCATGAGGAGAGGAGGGAGGGGTAATTGGAATTAGAATGTAAAAAAAAAAAAAAAGAAAAGACAAAAAAGAAGAAGCTTACTGCCAAACAGGTAAGTACTAGAAGGGAGAGTGGAACCACAGTTTGGTGGGAAAATTCAAGAACAGCAGCTGGATTTTTTTCAGGTTTAAAAATTCATAAGACACTAGTGAGATGGTTCAGTCAGCAAAGTGCTTGCCTTGCAGTCCCAAGGACTTGAGTTCAAATCCCCAGAACCCATGTAGAGAAGCCAGGTGTGATAGCATTCATTTGTAATCCCAGTGCTGGGGAGGGGAAGGTGACCAGATTCCTGGGACTGCTTGGCTTACTTTGAGAAGTTCAGGTCAATGAGAGTGCCTGTCTGCAAAACCAAGGTGGACAGCCCCTGAAGAACAGTATCCAAGGTAGTCCTCTAAGCTCCACACTCATGCACACACTCATGCACACACTCATGCACACACTCATGCACACACAGCTGCACACACATGCACACACTCATGCACACACTCATGCACACACATGCACACACTCATGCACACACATGCACACACTCATGCACACACATGCACACACATGCACACACTCATGCACACACAGCTGCACACACATGCACACACTCATGCACACACTCATGCACACATAGCTCCACACTCATGCACACACATGTACCTGCATGCACAGGAGCAGCCACAGACACGTAAGACAGACAGGAAAATCATACGGGATGAGAGATGGGGAGGAGCGTGGGGGGGAGGAAGAAGAGGATGTGGAGGTGCTGGGAAGTTTGGGGGCTCAGAATCCACCCCAGCCAACCCTTCCCTTGCTGGAGTGGACAGTGGGACTTCGAGAACTAGATTCCTGCATTGTCCTCATCACCTCTCAAGAGGTTTGTGCAGCCTAGAAGCTTCACAGAGGCTTAGCATGTCCCTTCTGAAATCGACTGAATGGTGGATGGAGGAAATGAACAAATGCTACTGAACCAATGTCCCCTTTGCTATGCCCAAATGTCACAGTTGATCAGGAGAAAGGAACATTACACACACTTTCATTCCCACCTCTGGACAAAGTCCTTGCCCAGTCCTGGATGTGGCTGCTGAGAGGTGACCTGATGGTCACATCCAGATTGGATTATGGAAAGTTCCTCCTCTGGGAATTGAGCCACTTTCTCAGAAACCAGAGAGGTTTCAAAATCAGCAGGAATTTTATATTGTGTCACCCCATGGTACAAAGGATTTTCCAGCCTTTGAGGCTGTCCTGCAAGATGATGAGGGGGAAAAAAGGGGATTTCCAAGAGTACTGGGTATGTCTATCTATGAGGCCATGATTTGCCACGCCCAGCTCTCCATCCATGTGCCTCACCAACCCCAACCCTGCAGAAGGAATAGCTATTTAAGGGCAGTTGGACTTCAGGAAAACCAGACAGGCCCCTGAACAAGACACTGCAGCATCATCTGAGAGGTAAGTGCCCAGAAAATCCTGCCCTGTGGCTGCATTTGAGTGGTTGTGTAGGTGAATGTATGCATGTGTGTGCATTTGGACATGCATGTAGATGTGAGCCCCCATCATGTAAACACGTAGTAGGCAGTATCTGTGTGCAAGCATGTTGTGTGGGTTTGTGAAGGTGCTGAGGGAGAACCCGAGAGCATGTGTGCATGCATGTGATCTGCACAGGGTTAGAAAGGCTTGCAAAGAGAATGTGCAGTTTTAGCTGGGGACAAGGACACTGGGAATCAGACTCCATGGATGGAATTCCCAAGCCTCGATCTAATGTAAGGAAGCAGGTGGAGTATCTAATGAGGAGAGCCATTGCCTTCAACCTCCCAAATCTGTGGAGTAAGTCCAGACTCCCAGGAGGAACGAAGCAGGTACAAGGTGTATCTCAGTATTTTATCATTTCTGTATGAGAAAGCATGCCACAAAGTCAGGAAGGGACGAGAGGTGACATGTATGATGCACTGTCAGAAGCCACTCTGTATGCACTCTATGACTCAGACCCATGAAAGAGCACGTGTGTGCTCTAGGGTGCCTAAACCAGACAGCAGAGCAGGGCCTGGGGCAGAGGCTGAGACTCCTGGGAGGGAATGCCCAGGCCAGTCCCTCTGTGCTTGGTCTCCACAGGCTGACAACATGAAGGTCCTCCTGCTGCTAGCAGCCTTGATCATGGTCTTTGGTAAGAGCTGACTCGGAACTCAGCAGGGAGGGGGTATTCTGAGGAGTGGGCAGCCCATCCTCTGCATTACTTCCCATCACCCCAGGCCTGGCACAGTGGGAAGAGGAAGGCATCCATTAGTGGGGAGAAAGATGCCAATGCAGAGGACAGACACGGGGTTCACTGCCCACCCCACCCCCAGCCATTCCTCCATTTCCTTTCAGGCCCAATCCAGATCCAAGGGAGTCTAGCTGAGTTAAATCGAATGATCTGGCTTAAGACAGGAATGAGAGCTGGGTTAATGTATGCCTTCTATGGTTGCCACTGTGGCCTGGGTGGCAGAGGATCCCCCAAGGATGCGACAGATTGGTGAGGACACCTTATCTTTTGTTCACTCTGGCTGGCATGGGACTAGGACAGAGTTAGTCCCTGCTGCCTCAGTGCCCTGGTGGGGACAGGACTAGGACAGACCTGGTATCCCCTTCCTCAGTGCCCTGGTGAATCCCTGCCAGCAAAATAGTCAGCACACTAGGAACTCTGCTCTGGAGTTTGAGTTTCTGCCCAGGGTCAAAGGTCAAGGGAAATACTGAGGCAGCAGGACTGCAGGGCTGTGAGAGGCAGCCTTAACAGGATGTGTCCCCAACCAGGTGCTGTGCGGCTCATGACTGTTGCTACGACCGACTGGAGGACCTTGGCTGTGGCACAAAATCACTGGACTACAATTTCAAGTATTCAAGGGGCGAAATCACCTGCTCTGGTGAGAAAGACCCCATCATGCCTGCAAGCTAACCTCACGTTCTGTTTGTTTGTTTGTTTTTCGGGTTTTTTTTTTGAGCACACAAATGCTGGGCTCTTTGCCGGAGGAGAAGGGGAATTTAGCCCTCTCTCCTTTAAGATCTTCACAGAAGACTCAGGGAAGGCAGAGAGAACCTTTGCACACCTGAGACTTGAGGAGGCTCCTGCAAGCAGCGCTATCTAAGCTGAATCCTGAAAGAGTCAGTGAGGCACACAGTGGCAGAGGAAGGTGGGCCATCCCCAAGCAAGACACAGCATGGCCAAGGGGCAGAGAGAACCATAGGCTACTCGGTGCTGCCCGAGGAACACAGGATGAGTCTGAGCGGTGAGACAAGGAAGGGACAAGGTCAAGCCCGGGCTTCCTGGCCATTGTCTAGAGGTTTGTGGACTACAGCGACAGGGACCTATTATTTGGCAAAACAACAATGAACACTTTTGCAAACAGAGGGCTCACCCTGACTGGGTGGATGGGCGGGAAGGAGGAGGAGCCTGCTGCCTGCAGGGGAGTGACACGTGGTGTAAAAGGGCCATGGTCAGATTGGAAACATCACAACCTGTGAGAATTCTAGCCCTGTGTGGTGCCAAGTCTGGGCAACTTCTATGCCCAGGATCAGGTGTCCTCAGCTCCGGGCTGTTGCCAACATCTGTGCTTATACTGTAAGACCCACTATAGCTCCAAGAGCCCTCCTGGCATACAACCACAGGCAGCTTTCTCTCACTGAGACTCTTTGGAGAGGGCAATGAACACTGCCCAGCAACCCCTGTGGACCTCCTCTTTTTGCACTGTATTCAGAATACAGCTGCATACTACCTTAAGATCAATGCCTGCCGAGGAGAAAGGGTGGACCACGCCGGTTTTCACCAGGTCCATCCATTCCGAGGCCAGTGAGGCTGGGCTTCCTCATACAAGCAGGTCTGTTAGCAACAGTGGGGGGGGTTCAGAAATATAGCTCAGTTGGCAGAGTACTAGCCTAGCACACAAGATTGCCTGGGTTCCATCCCTAGCACTGTATACATTGGGCATGATTTAGCATGCCTGGAATCCCAGGACTCAGGATGTGGAGACAGGAAGATTAGAAGTTCGAGGCCATCATCACCTGCATAGAGTTCAAGGCCAGCCTGAGCTACATGAGACCTTGTCTTTAAAAACAAAAACAAAACAATGAAAAACTAGAAGAGGTTGTCTAGGAAGCTAGGCAAACCTCTGGCAGTGCCATGTTTGGTGGCTGTGTGACCATCAGATGAGGGTCGGTCTTCCTCATCTCAGAACAGGCAGGTCCCCGCCAGCAGTCATGGGATATTAGCAACCCTCAGCTCAGTCTCTGTTTTTCCTAATTTCAGTAAACCAGGACTTCTGTGGGCAACAGTTGTGCCACTGTGATAGACTTCTGGCTGAATGTTTAGCCCAGCACCAGAAGAGCTACAGTTGGAAGTACCTCATGGGTATCAAGAAATCTTGCGAAGGAGAGTCACCCAGCTGCTCAGAGAGCCGCTTTTTTTTCACATAGCCCAACCCAGTCCCCCCAGGGATAAAGAAAGCATTCCTCTCCTTCCCTAGACACCTTCTGTAGAGACACCAAAGCCTGATGCATCAGGCTGATCTTCCCCACCACGCCACTACCTTGGGCTAACAGATTGCCCACATCCATCCTTCCCTTCACATCCAACTTCCTGCCTTGCAGTATCAAGGGGCTGTTACAAATAAAGTAATTCATCAATGAATGCATGTGTTCTCTTAACGTGAAATGAGACTTATATAAAGTTTGCATGCTAAAAGTGCAGGTACTCTGGGAACTCATTCAGCCAATAGCGTTTGAGGTACAGGTCCCTTCTGGGCGTGGTCTCAGGTGCCATGTGTACACTGAGAAGCCTGTGCTCTGTCTTTATCTCTCTCTCTTCCCCTTCCCCTCCCTCCCTTGTCTTTCTGTTCAAATTCTTTTCAACTTTTCCTTAAGGTTTGTTGACTATTAGTCTCGTGCCAGTATTTAGCTTTAAAAAGAGTTTAACCACCACTTTAGGCTGCATTCCCAAGCAACCCCACTCCGGGAAGACCCAGGCTGCTGGACTCACACCGTCCACAGGCTGGGTCTACATCAGATGGTCTTGGGTCCCCCATGAGAGGCACCCAGAAGTGGGTCTTCCACAAGCCGCAGTTCCTGAACCGTGCTGTGTGGTCAGGATTTGTTGCTGGGCTCTTTCCTGTTCACTCACTGTAACGTGTAGTCTTCCTGCCACTGCCTGGTTCCTGTCTAGTTGTCTGAGCCCTTAAGTAACACACAAGCTGTTGGCCATTTGCTTGGTTTCTTATCGGCTAGTTCTGACTTGATTATTAACCTGTAATTACTAGTATATATTTTATAAGAACTTATCTTTTTGAGGATACACTCCTGAGTGCCTTTTGCTCCCTGGAGATGGCATGGCAAGAGCTCTCCTCACTACAATTCCCGGAATCTTCCTAGGTTCCCAGCCTTACATATCTTGTTTCCCTATTGGCCAACAGTGCTTTATTCAGACCAATCAGACACATATTTACAGAATGACATCTCCCAACAACATACCATTACTGAGCAAATACTGGTTAGTTTCTTTTCCTCTGGTGACTAATATGCTTAAATTCAGTGGGTCATCACGTCCGATTTGAGGTTACACAGCTCCTGAGACCATGCCCAGACAGGGTCAGTACCTCAAAAGCCATTGGCTGAATGAGTTCCCACACCATACAGGCTTTGGGGCTAGGTAGACAGCTGAGACCATAAACTGCTTACCATGCAAGCATGAAGACCTATGTTCAACCCCCAGGACCCACATACATACAGCACACACTTGTTTATAATCTTAGAGTTGGGAAAACAAAGACAGGTGGGTCCCTGGGGCTCCCTGGCCAGCTGGCCTATTTGAACCAGCAAGTTCTAGGCCAGTGAGTGACCCTGCCTCCAAAAACAAGGTAGATAATGTCCTGAGGTCCTACCCTGAGCGTCATCTACAGCCACCACACATAAATGTACATACATATGTACGTATGTGTGGGCACATGCTGACACACAAGCACATATACACACAGAAGAACAGGCTTCCGGGTCAGTCTAGCTGGATCCAACAATAAGTACCCCACCACTTAAGCCCTGATTCTCTTATTCAAGTGGAGACCCTTGTCAGAGCCTCCTGCTAGGGTTTTTTGGAATTAAGAGAGGAAACAGAAGTCAAGCAGTGTCTGACCACTACTGCGTCCATCCCTGGCAAAGGCAGGTCTCCTCCCCCTCCCCAGGCCAGAGCCATTTCTCCTGGCTTATCTGGGGGACATGGAAGCCTTCGCTGGCAGAATAAAGTGGAGTTCTCCTGTCAAGGTGCCACCCCTTTGAACTAAAAGAAAACAGAAATCGTGGAAGACGGCGTCTTATGCCCACGCACCTGACACAGATCTACTCCCGGAAGACTGCCAGAACCATCGCGTGTGCAAAGCTGGCCACCTAGCAAAAATAGACTCCTATGACACCCGCACTTGTCAAACTGAGAAGCTTTGCACAGATCCTTAAAATGCCCTGACAGCTCTTCAGATTCTCTTTGCCTGTGAAAGAGCAGGCAGGAACCAGCGAGAGCTCCCAATTCTGGGTATGGTTCTTGGGACCAGGGTCGACAAGTAATCACTGTGAGTGGTCTGTGTCTGTAGTTCCCTCTGCCTATTGTGAATCTGCTAACCTTTACACTTATATCAAGATAAGGGCAAACTGAAATTAAAAATCATTTTAAAACCCTACCAACCCCTAAATGAAAGTTTCTCTTTGACATTTTGGCCAATAGAAGAAACAATTTTAAATCCCTCCCATCCCCAAACAGTGATCTTACAACTTACGATAACTCCTTGGGAACCCAGGCACTCAAGGCACCCTTCTCTGAAATGAAAACTTGGGACTGGAGGCCTGGAATGAGTTTCATGAAGTTGTTCTGCCCTTTCAAGTCGCCCTGATGCTGGGGTCTGAGCCTTGTGCAATAGTAAGATCTTTGGCATGGAAATCAGTTTCGAGTGCCACACCCACACACTGACTGCCAACCACCTTTCAAAACTCATCCCCAAAAATGCCTCCTGCCCAAACCGATGAGTCAAGCAAAACATCCAAGGGAAACTTAAAAAAGGATTAGGCTGAGCACGGGGCAGAGGGAATGAAGGTTGGCGGGCCAGGAAGATGGCTTAGGGGATACAAATATTTATTAAACATGCCTGCCAACCCAAGTTTAATCCCTAGAACTGCCACAGTGGAAGGGGAGAAAGTTGTCCTCTGACCAACACATGTGCAGTGACAGGCATCTGTGTGTTCATACTCACATGCATCATATATATTAACACAAATAATATATATACTATAATAGTAATAAAATTAATCTTAAGAGGCAATTATTATTATTATTTATTGAATTCAGAATGCTTTGGCAGTGTGTTATTCTCTAGTTCTAGCTAATATCTAGCTAACATATAAACTGAGTGAGTTCCAGGAGAGCCAGAGATGCACAGAGAAATTGTGTCTCAGGGGAATAAAACAAATCCATCCTCACTGTGTGACTGGACAGAAGCTAGACTCAACCCGGCAGACAAAGCCTGTGTATATTAACTTGATTCTTTTAATTGACATGGTTAGACCCATCTTCATTGTGGTTGGCACCACCCCCTGACTGGGGGCCTGAGCTGTATAAAATGGAGAGCTGAGTACCAGGGAGCATTCTTTGCTCTCTTCTTGTGAGTGTGGATGCCACGTGACCAGTTGCCTCATGCTCCTGGGGCCCTGATGTCCCCACCAACAATGAACTTACCTTGAACTGGGAGCCAGAGCGCATACATGCTGTCTCTCCTGACTTGCCTCTGTCCAGGTGTCACTTCAAAAGGAAAAGAAGCGAAGACAGACATGGAGAGGCTATCCCGCTGTGTTCCGTTACACTGCGACTACAATTGTGGTTGTATTACAAAATGTTTGAGAAAGTCCGAAATGAAAATCCATTGGTTATAGTGGAAAACCACAGTGAGGGACTGACTAAGCTCAAGGGTCTCTTTACTATTTATTTGGGGCTTTTGTTTGTTCATGGAGGATCTCAAAGTTCGGCCATTATCTCTGCTCCATGGCATCCCAATTTATAAAAACAAACAGACAAAAACCTTGGGTACTGCTGATCAAACCCAGGCCATAAGTCACATTATTAGCCCTAATGTAAGTGTTTTAGCAGAGCTGGGGATATGACTGAGTCATAGAGTGCTTACCTACCTGCTCAAAGCCCCAGGTTCAAGATCCAGCACCACATAAAAGCAGACATGGTGGGGCATGTCTGTAATCCCAGCACTTGGGATGTAGAGGCAGCAAGATCAGAAGTTCAAGGTTATCCATGACTATGTAGTAAGTTATCCCTGGCTAGGTAGCCAGCCTGGGCTACAAGAGACTATCAAAAAATATTATTTTGGCAGAATTAAGTCAAAAAATTTAGTGAATATCCCGAGCTGGTTTGAAACAACAGCTGTGTGGCATGTTTATAAAGACAGGAAAAGAAATAAAAGAAGAAAATATACTAGTACCGTTTGAAGGTGACACAATTTTCTTGTTTTCATCTCTCCTTACAGACATGCTCTGCTGCTGTCATTCAAATCAGCTTGTGCTTTTCTTTTGTGAGCCTTGGGTAATTGCTGGATAAAATATATGATGGGTAAAACACAAGATAATAAGAAAAATTCAAAACAGAATCACCTGGGTAGCTACAAAGGGCATCCGAACCAGGAGAAAGTGTGATACCAAATTGCCAATTTGAATACATCATGTTTTTCCAGATGGAAAACCCCAGAGACTCCACCAAAAGAAAAAAAGCTTCAGGATACAAAATTGAGACAGAAAAACCGATAGTTTTAAAAGCACCAACATTGACTTCCTTGAATTAGAAATCACAAAAGCAAACATTTATTGTAGCAACAAAACCTAAAATCCCCAGGGATGACTTTGTAAGAGGTCTCAAATGAAAACTATGAAACACTGAAGCTTTGAAGAGATTATAGAGGGTGAGGGGACAGGAGATGCCTCCTGCCACAGAGCAGGAAGAAGCAGCCCCATCCAAGTACCCTTGCAACCCAAAGGGACTTGCTAGTCCAGTGTGCTTACTGGCAGATGCAATGCAGGGGCTGAGAGCTGGTCCCATAGGCAAAGTACTTGCTGTACAAACGCAAGGACCTGAGTCTGGATTCCAAGCACCCAAGCAAAGGTCTAGGCATGCCTGTAACCACAACATCTAAGGGTGTGGGGGCAGGGACAAGAGGATCCTGGGCCAGCTAGTCTAGCTGAGTTAGTGAGTTCAGTGAGAGACCCTGACTGAAAAAGTAAAAAGACAGAGAATAACTGAGAAACATATTCGACGTCAACCTCTGGCCTCTACATGCACATGTGCACATATATGTACAAACATGCAGAAACACACACAAGCACAAATACACATGCACACATACAAACAAGAACACAGTGCACAAGTAGACAAAACACATAAATGAGCAGACACAAACACAGACAAACTAACCACGAGCATAAACACACAAATACACATGCACATAAAAACATGCCTACACGGACTTTGGACTCCCATAGAACAATGTGAGGTGCACTCTCACCCCGAACTCTTGGGGAAGGGTCTAGGCCCTGCCCTATATGAAATGACAGACTATGCACACCCCCATGGAGGGCCTCACCCTCCCTGGGGAAATG